ATTTTAAGGACCAATGTCTCATGAACCACATAAAACAAAGCTTATACACCACAGGTTTCCAATAAATCCATCTTTCCAAAGGCAGATCTCTGGGATCTTGTGTTCCAGCAAAGGCCTTTACTGTTAAAAATCAAATCTGGATTGTTATGTAGGAGTGGGGAAAAGAAGCAAGGGAGCAATGAGAGTAACCTGATTTTACAGCAAGAATGTCACCTAATTTTGTTTTAGGTATGTTTTGTTATGGATTGTTACTTTAAGTGTTTCATAAACAAAGTAATATCAGCACCTCTGCCGCGATTTGCAAATTTGGCACAGCTTCCTGAAGATTTTTTCTAAGGCCCTAATTATAAGTAAACTATCTCCATGAATCTTTACATTATCTGTACTTCTGCACTAGTGGGACCAGGTGTCCAATGGAGAACTCCCTCACCTGACTCACAGGTAACAGAGGACTATTTGAATTCCAATGGCTCCTAACACTCCTGAATGATCAGTAACACATTCTGGAAACCCTAAGGACTCAGACATAAAGGTAAACACAATCCTTAGTAAGTCCAGGAAAAAACAGGAATAGTTAATATGAATCATCAAGGAATTTCCTAAAGCTTCACATATCAAAGTGGGGTGTACCTCAGACTGGTTCTGTTCGCTGAACCTGAACCATCAGAAGCAGCACTTGAGAGGAAGATGTGATCTCTTGCTTCAGAGGGGTTTTCCAGTGTTTCAGGAAATATAAAATAGCAATCAAGGAAGAGGAAGACTTCATTTTACTGAAGAACAAGCTGAGTGAGAAAAACAGACTTCATCTTGAGATGGAGCCTGCTTTGATCATGGGAGAAGTAATCAGGAATTCAAAGGTAACTCATAGCACAGATCTCTGCTTTTTTTCCCCTTTGTAATGAAAGGAAGAAATTGCAAGACATTTCCATAGGTGTTTAATATCTAACATCCTTTTATGTAGGTTCTCTCTCTCCCCCATAATTTTTAAAACCTCTTTGGTTGTATACAGATGAATTGTCTATTGTCATATAGTTGGGGAGCATATTAGATGGCATTTTCAAGGTTAGGATTGTTATTATTCTCTCAAAGGGGCCAAGGACTAGAGAAAGCAGCAAGTTCCAAAGGCTAGATCCACAAAAGGACATAGCTTTAGGTACTTAAAATGGCAGCTAACATGTGGGGGGACTCAGAGATCCTCAAACCCCCTATTCAGCTGCTGTCTAACCGCATAGGTGCCTACATCCCTCCTGGTGGACGCACACAAAACCACTGCAGTCCTGACACCGCCAAGCTGCTCGGTGCCCTAGGTCATGCTTAAGCCCTGTCAAGGCTGATTCCCCACTCTGGCATGTGGAGTGCAGAAGTGGGGGCCCGCAAGGATTCTAAAAATTAATACTGGCCACTCCAGGCTTGTATTAAACTCCGATGGTTACAGCTTTTCTCTGACCTTGGATGGGTAGATGCTACCATCACCCAAATGCAGAAACCCCCTTTTGAGAACCCAGAAAGGTGCACTTGAGAATTCCTTCCCTCTGGGGAAGAGCTGAGAAAGAAAAAACAAAGAAAATCAGCTGTTGCCACCAGCTAATTAAACAGCATGTGCACAAATCTCTTAGGACACAAAAGTCCTAATCCTGTTCTTAAAAAAGGTAATTTTATTAAAAACAAAAAGAAAGAAAATACATCTGGAATTTAGGCTAATGCTAGATTTAAAAAGAGCAAATATAATAATTAAGCATCAAGAATGGTTTCCTTGAGGTCCAGCTTAATGGTTACAAGCAAAACAAAAGCATCTGGGTGTTAGCACAGAGAAGTGGAAGCCATAAAGAAATAAGAGAGATAAACCTAATTGTGTCTTCCTAGACATTTCCTGATCTACTTACATATCTGAGGTTTCAAATGGGTAATTTCTAGGTATGATTTAATGATTTTTCATACCTGGTGCAAGCTCTTACAGCATAGTCCAGCCCTGTCCCTGCTCTCTGGGAGCATAACCACAGACAGACAAAACGGGAGTCTTGTTTCAATTTTAAGAAGTTCTAACCTTCCCATTGGCTCTTTTGGCTAGGTGCCCACTCACTTCCTTTTACCTATGCATGCAGTCAGACTTTTTAACCTTTTACAGGTAAAACAAATAGAGAACTGCTACCAACAGGGATTTTATAGCTAACTGGCTGTCTGGGTGTCTGTAAAAGGAATCTACCCCTGCCCCTTCATTTATCACAAGTCCCAGTGGAATTCACAAGCTAGGTGCCCCTTCCCTCCCATCTCAATTGCAGGGCCTGATCCAACAGGTGTTCTCTGAAGCCCTCACACAAGAGACAGCTGGGTGGCATGCAGGAGAATGCCCAATAACCCAGTGGTCAGAGCTCTCACCTGGGAAATGGCAAGGACCTGAATCGGGATCACTCATAGTCCAGGAAAGTGCCCATCCCCATGTGATGGGGTGTTCTGGGGCAGGTCTCCCACAGCCACTCCTGTTGGAACTGGACCACTTTGTATGAATAATTAACTATTCATTGGACCAGAAAAAGATTGATTCTACAGCCTAGTGGTTAGGTCACTCACCCAGGATGTGGGAGCCCCAAATGCCATTTCCTGCTCCAATGAACATTTAATCATTTATACAACCAGAGAGATTGAGAGAGACCCACCCCAAAACATCCAATAGCATGGGGGTCAATCCTCCTCAGGGATGGATGCCCAAATCAGGCAGAGCAGGGATTTGAAAATGGGTCCCTCACCTTCCGAGTGCCCTAACCTCTGGGCTATTGTTTATAATGGGGTGACCATCAGTCTCCATCTCTCATGCATGCACACCTGAGCAAAACAGAGACAGATGGCTGACCTGGTTTAAAGCTTATCTATATTTGAAATGTTGCAGCAACACAGCCGTAATGCTATATTGTAGACATTACCTACACTGACGAAAGGGGTTCTCCCATCAGCGTATGTAATCCACCTCCTTTCTAGATACACAATCCAGCATATGTAATCTATTTCTTCCATCGACCTGTCTACATGGGGATTTAGGCTAGTTTAACTATGTCACTCAGGAATGTGGATTTTTGACACCCCTTGTCGACATAACTGGGTCCATCTAATTTTCTAGTGTAGACCAGCCCTTAGGTGCCTAAGTCCAGGAGCAGGATGACAGCTGTGAATCCCAAGCGGAGATCTGTGCCTCCCTCTGGACCAGAGTAGGTACCTATTGATGTTTTGTTTACATCCCACCCCTTTGCTTGGCATTTTTGATTGGCTAATTTATTCAGCTTCAAGCTTAGCATACTAAGCCCCATTCTGTCAGTCCTATTCTTAGATGCCTAACTCTCCCCATGCCTGGACACCTAACTCTGGGATGAGGATTCCACTGGGTAACAGGACACCTAAAGGTTAGGTGCTGCAATGCTCAGTGTTGCAACATCTAAGCCCTTTTGTGGATTTAGTCCCAAGTTGCTGGTCATAGGAGAAGAGAAAACGTAGCAGGAGTCGGACTGAGTTAGGTTACTAATAGTGTGTCACGCCACAAATTCTTGGCAGTTTCATCAGTTTCTGCAAAGTCCATGTGGTAGGGTTGAGAAAGATAGCCTCCTTGCACATGGGAACTGGTGCTGTGCTGTTTTAGGTACTGTCTACACTACAAAAAAAAAACACCTACTGTATAAGTGTCCCCAAGATACAGTTAGGCACAATCTGCTCTGAAACGCTGTGTTTTCACTGTGCTGGTGACCAGCCATGTCCCTGACACAGCTGATTTTGTACCAAGTTGTAGACAATGAGTAAAGGAACTATTCATAGTTCTCAGCACATCAGTGATCCCTGTCTTTGTTTTACATTCTCCGTGCAATAGTAGATACAGTTCACTGTCCTAGTCCTCATCTTTAAACCTCACGTCAGAGTGGGGAGTACAGAGGAATCCCTCTCCCAGAGTGCTACGGTCAATCGGGAGAAGAGAGCAGGCCAAAGCCAGGTCTCAGCATCCTCGGCGCAGCCCCCAGCCGCCGAGCACCACAGTACCGAGCCAGAAAGAGCACGTGTGGTCTTTATACCTAGGCCTTCCCTCTCCAGAAGCAGACACACACTGACCAAAGGATGACATGTCCTTGCTGTCACGGGGAAGCGGAGGGGGGAGCGATGGACCCCGGCTGGGAGCCACCCCCAGTCCCAGCGCAGCCAAAGCCCCGCCCCACCCATGGCTGGCGGGCAGAGCACAACAAGCCTGGTCAGCAGCGGCTCCGAGTCACGCATATGGCCGCTGGGTGCCACAGAAACACGGTCCAAGCAGCCGCTGTACAGCGACACCCCCCGCCTTAGTGGGCGGCTCCCGGGAGGCCATCGCTCCCCGTGCATAGCGTCGGGCAGGGACCGGGGGAGGAGGCCCATCGTGAGCGGCTGAGCCTCGCAGTCCCCACGTCTCGGGGCTTTCCCAGCCTCGTGGGGCTCCGTCCCAGCACAGCTAGGCAGGGGAGTCAGGAGAGGCCGCCGCGGGAGCCCTCGCTACAACCCCCCGCAGAATGGCCCCGCTCCTTCTGCCCCTCCAGCTCCCCACTACTCACCCCCGACTACCTCCATGCTGCTTCACGCAGTACTCCTGCACTTCCGAGTGCCCCGAGATCACGCGCCGAGGAGCGCCGCCACCAATGAGAAACCGAGCTCTGGCTGTAATCCCGCCCCGTGAACTAATATTGGCCCCAACCTGACCTTGCTGACTGACGTTCCTCTCAGCCAATGGCCTCTGCGTTTCTGTTACGTGATCACGCTCTAAGCGCCTCAATGTCTGAGTTAGAAACTTTTCTCCAATGGTGCAGCCCTCTGAGGACTGACAGCCCATTTGACCAATGGTATTAGAACTTAATGATTTTATCCCCGCCCTCTGATTTGTGAGCGAGGGGAGCACGGTCCAACTGAGAATGTCGGATGAGGAGAGGCTCTGTCTCCCGGGGAAGTCGCGGCCAATGGGCGCGGAAGGGGCGGTGCAGAGGGTGGATTGTTTATACCTTGGGAGGGGGAAAGTAGGTCAGAAGGAGCGCGAGGGTGGCCTAGCTGCTAGGCGCGCGCTGCGGAGTAGGTAAGGGGGAAGTGGGATGAAGCTGCGGCTGGTCCCTGGGTGGGGGAGTGGGGTTAGCCTGTTCCAAAGCGGGGGGATGCGGTTGCGACTTGTCCCCGGGCTGGGCAGGGGGATGAGCCTGCGGTCGGTCCCTGGATGGGGGGAGGGGAATCTCTACAGGGAGGTTTCAGAGTAACAGCCGTGTTAGTCTGTATTCGCAAAAAGAAAAGGAGTACTTGTGGCACCTTAGAGACTAACCAATTTATTTGAGCATGAGCTTTCGTGAGCTACAGCTCACTTCATCAGGGAGGGTGAGCCAGCAGCTTGTTCCTGGGCGGGGGGATCTGTGCTCTGTTGGGGGGCTGCTGTCTGTGGGAGGAGGAATAAATCTGTGTGTGTGTGTTTAGGAAAGCGGATGTAGATCTGTGGCCTGTGGGTGCTTTAAAAACTGTCCCCCTCTGTGGGGTCGTCTTTGTCCTGTGTGGGATGACGGGGGACCCCATACTGCTCGCTAGCTACCCCCATTCCCCTCCCCTGGCATAGCCAGGTTTGATTCTAGTCTGGGCTCAGTCCCTGGTTCTCCGAACGCCTGCTGGGTTTGTATTGGGGTCAGTTGTGTCTGGCCAGGCTGGGCTTCCTATGAGTATAAGGGAGTGGGGTGGTGTCTGGAACTGGTCTGGTCCCGGCCATCTCTAGCAGATAGGAGCCAATCTGTGTCATCCCTGAGGGATTGATGCTGCCTTGGATACCATAGAGATGAGTCTGGTGTAAGAACCTCAGAAGTACAGAATTGCCTTTTGTGGTGCTGGTCTGTACCTGAGAGCTCTAGGCAAAGTCACTCTTAAAACCCCCAGGCTTGAATGTCAATTGCACACTGATGACATCACCCTACCCCTCTTGTGCCCAGGGATTCTGCAGTTAGAGCCCTGGCCTGGACAGATGGCTGATTCTGCCAGCTGTAGCCCTGTGGCTACCTTGTTTGCATCCTAAGGGAACAGAATCTGTGTAGCTAGGTAGATGGGGTCATTGTTATTGCGCTGCTCTTTCTTCCTTACTGTCCCTGTGCATTTGGGCAACTTTCTCAGAGGTACTTTGCAGCCTGGCATCACTCTTTGCCCTCATGGTGTGTTGAGTGTGACTTCAACATGGCTCTTGTAGTTGTGCAGGCTGCTCCTTTCTTTATCCCATGCTGACCTCGCAGCAGCAGCATCATCACCTGCCCTCCTGACTAGGAAGCTCAATTACTCTAATTCCTTCCTGACAGGGTAACTCTGTCACTTACTTACCTGCTGAGCAGATTGCAGGAGATAATTTGCTTGCTGCTCTGAGCAACCATCATCATATTACATTGATCCTGGCATTCTTTGTTAGCTGCCAATCAAGTGCCACATAGACCTGAAACTGGTACTGCTGGGCCTTGGAACCTTCCATGCAAATCAGGTAAAGCTTCATTCTAGACTTCCTCAGACCTCGTACTGCCCCAGATATCTGTGATCATGCGCCGCCTGGCTTGTGGCAATCCCCCTGTCTTGGGTCAGTATGACAATGGGCCTGTGCTGTGATGGGCCCTCAGCCATGGGACTTTCTCTTCCCTGAAATGTGTCTGAGTCCTTTGTGCATGACTTTTAAAAATGTGTCTAAACTTTGCTTTCTCCGTCCTAGATGACTGACTATAGCTACTCTTGAGTCTATATTAACCTTTCCCTCTCTTGTGCTGTTTTCTGTTCTCTTCTGCTTCTAAAATGCCTCAAATTGTTCTTATTTCTCTCTTTTTATGATTATGGCTTTTAATGCTTTATGCAGTGGCTTAAAATATATTATATTGCCCAGTGTCTTTACAAATACTGTTTTTAGTGTCTTACACTGGAAGTCAATCTTTGCCCTTCCCTGTGGAGTATCACCCCACCCACACCTCCACGATTCTCCCTCACCTATGGGCTAAATCCATGCCTCTGGGTTATTTGCCCTCTAGCCTTACCCTAGTATCTTTCTTCTTCTCACAGGCTCTGCTTTCAAGCAGGCTTAACTTCTGATGTGTAAGATCAGGCTAACTTTTTCTGTGTCATGCTAGCACTTCACTCTCTTATCAGCTTGGGCACCAATAATGAATCTTTTCCATTCTCTCCTGGAGATCTCTGATCTCCTCTTCCTGTGTAGTAGCAATGTTTAAACAACTTGGCATTCTGCTGATGCTTAACAAGTAATGTTGGGTGCAGGTATTCCATTAATCTATTTAGGGTCCAATCCTGTTCCCACATGAACCTCTGGCAAAACTCCTTGGGGTTGGGCCTTTAATCTTTGCTCACTAATTGAGACTTGTTCTCCCTTCCCCATCACAGGTTAGATCCAATTATAATTTATAAAAAGAAAGAAGAATGGTTCTCAAGTCTCTGCTGAATAAAGACTAAGCTGGTTCTTGGGGTTGTTTGTCAATAATTAGGCTTTGTCTGACTCATGTACTTCCTGCTGCCTGCAGTCTCCCTGAGCTAGAAGTAAATCACATTTGGATATGGACATTCTCTTCTTTCTCCCCTCCTTCAAAGGTACCTGATTGGGTGTTAGTCTAGAGGTACAGATTGACTCAATCTCAGTTTCCATGTTTCCACCCGTCCCTGGGTGTGTTCTTTTATGCCCCCAGCACTCACTGGCTTTGGGAAGTGGAGTGCCGCAGCTGGGAGCTGGAAGAGTAGAGCAGGCTGGGGCCACGTCGCTCCGCTTCCTGCTGCAGGTGAGTGCTGGGGGCGTCCTTTCCCCAACCTCCCCACACTCACCGGCAGCGGCAGAAGTGGAGCATTGCAGCTGGGAGCTGGCAGAAGTGGAGCGGGCTGGGGCCACATTGCTCCGCTTCCCGCCGCTGCCAGTGAGTGCTTGTCAGGGGGCGGGGGGGTGGATAGGGGTTGGGGCAGTCAGGGGACAGGGAGCAGGGGGGTTGGGTAGGGGGTGGGGTCCTGGGGATGTTTAGGGACGGGGGTCTCTGGAGAGGGTGGTCAGGGGACAAGGAGCAGGGGGGCCAAAGTAAGTTCGATATAACACGGTTTCACATATAATGTGGTAAGCTTTTTGTTTGTTTGTTTGGCTCAGTTTTTTGGCACAGGCTGCGTTATATCAGGGTAGAGGTGTATTTACACTTAGAACTGATTCTCAGGAATAAAATATTGACCTCTGTCTCCCCTCCCATTTAGAACTCTGGCCATAGATTGCAAATCATATGAGCTGCTCCAAAATCAGGTGTGTGTGGAAAGAATAGGAAGCTGGTATTATACCATAAGGGTTTCCACAGGGTCTCCTGGGGCAGGGCTGGTCCGATATTCAGCACTTTCTTTCCTGGTTTAGGAATAGAATGAGGAATCGGAGTGCCTGTATTTCAGAAGGGGTAGACTGGGAATAGACTCACAGAAATCGTAGGACTGGAAGGGACTTTGCAAGGTCATCTAGTCCAGTCCCCTGCACTCATGTCAGGACTAAGTATTATCTAGACCAATCGTTCTCAGTTCCCTCACTATCAGCAGTGCTCTGAACCAAATCTCTGGGCATCCCACAGGGAGGTAGAAATAGGTCACAGGGAAGAACAGAAAATCACCTGAATCTCAGATGTGTGTGTTGCGTAAAATGCTGGTAAATACCACTTATTTTTCTTTACTCCTTTCCTCTAACTCAAAACTGAGGAGTCTGTGGCAGTACAGTATACAGGCAGCCCCCTTTCCACAGATCTGTTAAAGAGGCTAAGAGATGGATCTTTCTCTCTTAGAATGGGGGTGGGAGAGTATAGTGAATGATAAAGTGGCAGGCTTAGGCCAGTACCTTTTTATTTCATTAGCAAAAAATAATTAAGAGCTGCATAGGCCAGGGAGATCCCTCAACAGCGGGGCTGTGTGGGGCAAGGAGCTCTCTAGCATGTTTGCTCTAAAGGAACTTGGCATTTTCAGAACTAGAGGGATTGCACATGTGTTTAAGGGTATGTCTACACTACAAAATTAGGTTGAATTTATAGAAGTCGATTTTTTTAGAAAGCAATTTTATACAGTCGATTGTGTCCCCCCCCCCCCCCCACACACTAATGCACTAAGCGCATTAAGTCGGTGGAGTGTGTCCACAGTACCGAGGCTAACGTCGACTTTCGGAGCGTTGCACTGTGGGTAGCTATCCGACAGTTCTCGCAGTCTCCGCTACCCATTGGAATTCCGGGTTAAGCTCCCAATGCCTGATGGGGCAAAAACATTGTCGCAGGTGGTTTTGGGTAGATGTCATCAGTTGTCCCTCCCTCCATGAAAGCAACTGCAGACAATCGTTTCGTGCCTTTTTTCTGTGCGAGCTCCTTACTGCTTTCAGCAGACGGTGCAGTAGGACTGCTAACCGTCGTCATCATCCACCGCTTCTGCTGGCACTCTGCTCTCCTGGTGGTCTCGCAGGGCCGCTTCCACTGCAACTCTGCTTGGCTGCTCTTGTCTCGCCATACCACAGCAAGTGTGCAGCCCACTCAGCTGTTGTGTCCTGGCAGCGGACGGTCCAGTAGGTCTGCAAAACTGGTCATCCAACCACCACTTCCCCTGAAACTCTGCTCTCCTGCAGACGCCATACACAGCAAGCATGGAGCCTGCTCAGATCACCACAGCAGGTGTGAGCATTGTAAACACCTCGCACATTATCATGCAGTATATGCAGAACCTGCAAAAGCAGGCGAGGAGGCGATGGCAGCGGTGAGGAGAGTGATGAGGACATGGACACAGATTTCTCTCAAACCACGGGCCTCAGCAGTTTGGCCATCCTAGTGGCAATGGAGCAGGCTCATGCCATGGAACGCCGATTCTGGGCCTGTGAAACAAGCACAGACTGGTGGGAATGCACAGTGTTCCAGGTCTGGGATGATTCCCAGTGGCTGCGAAACTTTCGCATGCATAAGGGCACTTTCATGGAACTTTGACTTGCTTTCCCCTGCCCTGAAGCACCAGAATACCAAGATGAGAGCAGCCCTCACAGCTCACAAGCAAGTGGCGATAGCCCTCTGGAAGCTTGCAACACCAGACAGCTACTGGTCAGTCAGGAATCAATTTGGAGTGGACAGATCTACTGTGGGGGCTGCTGTGATCCAAGTAGCCAACGCAATCACTGTGCTGCTGCTGTCAAGGGTAGTGAGTCTGGGAAATGTGCAGGTCATAGTGGATGGCTTTGCTGCAGTGGGATTCCCTAACTGTGTGGTGGTGCGATAGACGGAATGCATATCCCTGTCTTGGGACCAGACCACCAAGGCAGCCAATACATAAACCGCAAGGGGTACTTTTCAATGGTGCTGAAAGCACTGGTGGACCACAAGGGACGTTTCACCAACATCAACATGGGATGGCCGGGAAAGGTGCATGACGCTCACATCTTCAGGATGAACAGCTGCAGGAAAGGACTTACTTTCGAGACCAGAATGGGGATGTTGAAATGCCTATCGTTATCCTTGGGGACCTAGCCTACCCCTTAATGTCATGGCTCATGAAGCCATACCTAGGCACCCTGGACAGTAGTCAGGAGCTGTTCAACTGTAGGATGAGCAAGTGCAAAATGGTGGTAGAATGGGCATTTTGACGTTTAAAAGCACGCTGGTGCAGTTTACTGACTCAGTTAGACCTCAGCGAAACCAATATTCCCATTGTTATTACTGGTTTCAGAGTAGCAGCCGTGTTAGTCTGTATTCGCAAAAAGAAAAGGAGTACTTGTGGCACCTTAGAGACTAACCAATTTATTTGAGCATAAGCTTTTGTGAGCTACAGCTCACTTCATCGGATGCATCCAATGAAGTGAGCTGTCGCTCACGAAAGCTTATGCTCAAATTTGTTAGTCTCTAAGGTGACGTTATTACTGCTTGCTGTGTGTTCCACAATATCTGTGAGAGTAAGGGGGAGACATTTATGGCGGGGTGGGAGGTTGAGGCAAATCGTCTGGCTGCTGATTACGCACAGCCAGACACCAGGGTGGTTAGAAGAGCACAGCAGGGCGCGCTGTGCATCAGAGAAGCTTTGAAAACCAGTTTCGTGGCTGACCAGGCTACAGTGGGACACTTGTGTTTGTTTCTCCTTGATGAACCCCCACCCCCACCCCCCCGGCCTTGGTTCACTCTACTTCCCTGTAAGCCAACCGCCCTCCCCTCCCTCCTTCGATCACTGCTGGCAGAGGCAATAAAGTCATTGTTGTTTCAAATTCATGCATTCTTTATTAATTCGTCACACAAATAGGGGGATAATTGCCAAGGTAGCCCGGGAGGGGTGGGGGAGGAGGGAAGCACTGGATGGGGTGCGGGAGGAGGAGAGAAGGACAAGGTCACACTGCATTTCAAAACTTATTGAAAGCCAGCCTTCTGTTGCTTGGGCAGTTCTCTGGGGTGGAGTGATTGGGTGCCCGGAGGGGGAACCCCCCCCCACGTTCTTGGGCGTCTGGGTGAGGAGGCTATGGAACTTGGGGAGGAGGGCGGTTGGTTACACAGGGGCTGCAGTGGCGGTCTGTGCCTTTCCTGCACCTCAGCCATACGCCAGAGCATATCAGTTTGATCCTCCAGCATTCCATCCTGCTTCCTCTCATCATACTGCCGCCACCTTTCCTCTTGATTCCGCCACCTGTCCTCTCATGCGTCCCTCCAGTCCTCATGTTCATTTTGTGCTTTCCTGGACTCTGCCATTGTCTGCCTCCATGCATTCTGCTGGGTTCTTTCAGTTTGGGTGGACCCCATGAGCTCAGAGAACATTTCATCGCGAGTGCATTTTTTTTTCGCCTTCTTATCTGCGCTAGCCTCTGGGACGGAGATGCTAGTTGCAGCGTTGAAACCTTTGCAGCTGTGGGAGGGGAAAAAAAAGGAGAGTAAAATTTGAAAAAGACACACTGGCCATTTAAAAGGAGGGGCTGATGTTTTCGGGTTAACGTGCAGCACAAACCCAACTAAGCCACCCAATTCTCTGGGATGATTGCTTCACCCTTCCCCCCACCGCGTGGCTAACAGCAGGGATGATTTCTTTTCAGCCACAGGCAAACAGCCCAGCAGGAACGGCCGCCTCTGAATGTCCCCTTAATAAAATTCCCCTATTTCAACCAGGTGACCATGAATGATATCACTCTCCTGAGGATAACACAGAGATAGAGAACGGATGTTGCTTGAATGCCAGCGAACACCGGGATCACGCTGCCATGCTTTCTTATGCAGTGATTCCAGACTACGTGCTACTGGTCTGCCGTGGTAAAGTGTCCTCCCATGGAGGACGCAATAAGGCTGCCCTCCCCAGCAACCTTTTGCAAAGACTTTGGGAGTACCACCAGGAGAGCTTCACTGAGATGTCCCTGGAGGATTTCCGTTCCATCCCCAAACACGTTAACAGACTTTTCCAGTAGCTGTACTGGCTGCGAATGAATCCCAAGTCTTCAGGGCAAATTAATCTTTCTCCGCCTTCAAGGTCCGGGAGCCCAGGGTACTGTCTCCAGGGTGATAAACAGCTCCTGGCTGTCAGGGAGAACTGTTTCTCAGTGCATACCAGGCAAGCGATCTTCAACCTCCCCCTCCTCCTCATCTTCCTCGTCCACAAAAGCCTCATCCCTGTTGCATGAGACTCCCTTGCAGGAGTCCATGTACAGGTGTGGGGTAGTTGTAGGGGCACCCCCTAGAATTGCATGCAGCTCATCATAGAAGCGGCATGTCTGGGGCTCTGACCCCGAGCAGACGTTTGACTCTTTGGTTTTTTGGTAGGCTTGCCTCAGCTCCTTAAGTTTCACTCGGCACTGCTGCAGGTCCCTGTGATAGCTTCATGCCCTTGGAGACTTTTTCAAATATTTTGGCATTTCGTCTTTTGCAATGGAGTTCTGATAGCACGGATTCCTCTCCCCATACAGTGATCAGATCCTGTACACCCCGTTCGGCCTATGCTGGAGCTCTTTTGCGATTCTGGGACTGCCTGGTGACCTCTGCTGATGAGCTCGCCACGCTGACCAAACAGGAAATGAACTTCAAAAGTTTCCGGTGCTTTTCCTGTGTACCCGGCTAGTGCATCTGAGTTGAAAGTGCTGTCCAGAGCGGTCACAATGGAGTATTCTGGGATAGCTCCCGGAGGCCACTACCATCGAATTGCGTTCACACTAACCCAAATTCAACCCGATAATGTCTATTTCAGCACTAATCCCCTCATCGGGGAGGAATACAGAAATCGATTTTAAGAGCCCATTAAGTCGACAAAAATGGCTTCATTATGTGGACGGATGCAAGGTTAAATCGATCTAACACTACTATATTTGACCTAAACTCGTAGTGTAGACCAGGGCTAAGGGATGTTTGGAAGAGGTGTGGAACCCCATGGAAAGCTCTAAGGAGGAGGGAGGGGTTTTTTGTGTGTGACATACTAAAAGGAGATTCTAGGGGGGAAAGGAGGGGATTGAGCAACAAGAATTAGCTCTTCTTTTTTCTTATGTGAGTTTTTGCTGTAATGGCTAGAAACTTGTTCTGGTCTGTCTGGGGGAAATAGAACCTCCCCAAACCTGGTCTCTGAGACGCAGCTGGCTAGAATTCAGAAACACGCAAGAAGTTTTGTTCTTGAGGAAAGTCAGGACAAGCTGATGAAAAGATCATTGTCCCTGTACAGCAAGAAGTTGGTCTCTCTTCTCCTCTTCCCATTATAGTCAATTAGTCAAAGATGAGCAGACAGGCACACACACCAACTTGTGTAGTAACTGTAGAGCCAGGAGGCAATGCCATAGACAGCTAAGAATGGGAGAGTTTAACGTCAGAACTTGGCTATGCATGGTGTAGTTACTGGACCCACAGGAGCCTGCATATATCAATTATTGTTGATCTTCATCTCTTTTCAGGACAAAGGTGAGGGTGTTGAGTGGTTCGTGCAGTAGCAGTTCTTCCTTATGTGCTAGTGCAGGGTGGCACTGTCCCCCCCCCCCCTTTGTGCTTCTAGGAGTATTTCTGGTAACCCAGTTCAACACGCTGGGTTCAAAGTGAAGTAGATCCTAGTATTTCTTTCAGCCAGTTTGGGCTGGGAGCTCTGCAGAGGTGGTGAGCTTGGCTCCTGAGGGTAGGTTTATGCTTGTATTGCTCAGCAGCAACCCCTGCTGGCCAACAGGTGTAGCATTGACCATGCTGTGAAAGGTGTATGTCTTACTAGTCTAGCCAGAGAGTAGTGGTGTGAGGTTCCATAAGGCCATGGCGAAGGCCCCGGTTTGACCTGAGCCTGGCTATCCCAAACCTATTCACAAGGTGGCCAGGAGAGGGGGTAGAGCCTGATGACCACTGGAAGGAAGTGGTGCCCAAATAGATCCTTTCCGGTTGACTCTGCTGCTCTGGGTAATCTTATTTTCTTCCCTTCCCATTTTGCAGATTATCTGTATCAAAACACCATGGCACGACGCACACGCAACAGCAGGGCCTGGCACTTTGTCCTGAATGGGGTACGCCGGGATGCAGATGCACGGGCAGTAGCTTTGGCCTCTGGAGCACATGGGTGGGGCTATGACTCTGATGGGCAGGTAGGTTGGAATATTAAGGATCCCAAAGTTAAAACATGCTTTAGAAGAGGATATTTTTAAACACCCATTAAGGAAACCTTTCCTCCTCCCAGGATGCAGGTGACTAGTGGCTTGAGGGCCAGGTGCCCAGTGTGGCAATAGCATGCACAGTGGACCATATTCAGACAAGATTCCAGTAACCTAAGCTTACAGGGCGTCTAAGCTGATGCAAATTGGACTCTCACCCAGTTACCAGCCTGTAACTTAACACCTTGACACACCACCTCTGAATTTGTCTCACTTGGTATAAATTGATATAGAAGAGCTGGAAGGTGGGAATGAAGGAGGAAAAGAAATAGAACCATGTAAGAAGGGATAAATTAAAATAGCTGCTGACCTCCTTCAGCTTGCTTTCCCCCAGCTCCTAGTTATACAGGTTAAACTCCCTAGCAAGGTGCACATTGGTATGAGGGTAAGATTGACTCAGACACCTGATTGGCCCAGTGAATTCAGAGGGACAATGTATAATTGTTTTCCTTTCCTTCAGTCCTGTCAGAGTGGCTTAAAGTTTCTACAGTGGTAACGTTCCCTATAAATTCTGCAAAGTCCCTTCTGTGAAGGGGAAAGCGGAGAAGAGAAAAGGCAGAAATGTGTCTTTCTAGATGTTTGGCCTGAACATTGAAACAATTTGCAGAGGACAGGAGAGCACTGGGATGGGCTATGCACAAATGAACCAGAGTCGTACAAAATCCAAGTGTCATTGTAGCCTTTAAGCATGACTTTCAATCTGGGCAATAGAACAGGAATACATAGGAAACAGTGGGCTAATTATCTAACACCAGTGTAAATCTAGAGTAATTTACTGAAGTCATTGAGATTAGAGTCTGGCCCTGTATCTTGTATGAAGTACAAACACTGCGTAAAAGAAATCAGTTTAGGTTCAGCTGTTTGATATGCTGGCATATAGGGATAGTAATGTTTAGATGCTGTTGTAACTACATGTCTTCTGTGCCCATACACCACAGTAAGCAAAAGCTTTTTAAGAAAGTATCTTAAGTGTGAGGTCTTCCAATCATCTGTCCCCTAAGACAAAAGCCAACGTGGAGTGTTGCCCTCTCTTCCACACGAGTAGCAGCAGCGGTTACTGCTTGAAGCCACCATTCCCTCACTCCTGAAATGCACTCTACATTTTCCCCCTTGCTTGCTGTACTACTGTTGGTAGCATCCTAGCCTCTTTTTCCATGTCAATCCCTCAGCTGCCCAATCTCGCTCTCCCTACCCTTTGTCTGTCCTTTTTCCCCACTCCTGTGGTTTCCTCCTTTCAACCTCATACATCCCTAAATCGTGTCAGTGATGTAAAATCAAGACCTGGAATGCAGTGTGTTTATTGTCATCCTCCTTCAAATTGCTTGAACTTTGCATCCTTCCCCATCCACTCATCTGTGTGGGCTCTTTTGGGCATGTGCCCACTGGGACCTTTGGGTATTACTGCAATACAAGGAGTGTCAATCCATGGCTTTGTAAAGCACTGCTCAAGCTATGGGATGGCCCTCAAATTTTAGCTTTGATGGTATCCTTCTGCTTTTCCATGGCAGCACAGTGACTCTGACTCTGAGCCAGAGTTTCCTTCCCTCTCGCCCTCCATCCCCAGCGCCATCCCTGTGACAGGAGAGTCCTACTGCAACTGTGAGAACCAGAATGAGACTCCGTACTGCTCCAGTCTGCACACCATCCATCGTGTCAAGGACTGCCAGTGTGGTGAAGAGGATGAGTGTAAGGAAGCAGCTCTTAAACTGCTCTTGCTATTCCTCTGGGGTTTGAACTGTGCTGCTTTCTCTTTGCCCATATGTTTCAGGGTCCCCTCGGGTTATGCAGATGGTGGTGCCACTTGCTCATCTGTAGAGAATGGGGAGGGGACCACCACTGTATGCTTAGTGGGGAAAATATAACCTGTGCTATTCCTGCGTGGCATGCTGTTTTGTTCTTATGACATGTTCCGTAGGGAAACTGGGAAGATAACCAGTATATTATCCTGCATGATTCACAGGCTAAACTCTAAAGATGTTAATACACCAGATCTCATGTGTGGGGGCCTGGTTTCAAATCTGGCTTAGGCCACAAGTGAAACTGAACTTCCTGGTTACATCCCAGGGCATCCCATCTACACTGCCCCGCCATGAACTTCTGGGGAGCGAATAGCAGTGCACACCAACGTGCTGAAACTCCCCCATGTGGATGCTGCAGGTAGAAATGAAATGGTTCCTACTTCATATGAATGTAATCCAGTGTGCATTGCTGTTCACACACCTGTAGTCTGAACTGTGGGGCAGTGTACATGTAACAAGGATCAAACTCAGCACAATTCAGTACAATTAGCAAACTGGTCAGGTAGTAAGGAGTATTTAAGATCAGGCTTACTGTGCCTTAGGAGAGCTAGATAAAATCTGGGCCTGGCCAGGTGGTGGGGGTGTTCATATGTCAGGAATGAGAAGGCAGAACACTGCTTGCCCTCTGGCTGTAATTTCATGAGCCTAAAGGGAATAAAAATGGGATTCTCCAAAACTCAAGGACGCTCTAGAAGTGTCTTAAATTCTCATTTTCCCAGATTAGACATCATCTGGGTCATTTCCTGCCTGTCTTTCAGATTGACGTTGCTGTTTGTAATAAATACTAAAGGCAACATTACTCTGTCTCATTCGTGGCCTGGATTCCAACCCAACCTCGCATGCTAGCTGACAGCTGTTATGTATGTGACAGTGTTAGGTAACTGCAGTTGTAGGACAAGTTGCTTGCACACCTGAGCTCTGGTGTTACCTCAAAACGAGAACTATTGTTTGTTGATAGTGACAGATGTGGTTAAGGATGGACCACACTGGCATGACATCCCTAGCCAGAATACAGCAAAAAGGTCTTGGGTTTTAGCAAGCTGACTGTTCAACTAACCCAGCCTGGTATTTAGCCTGCTAGATTATAAAAATCTTAAAGGTTGTTAAACTGTTACATTTCTGGGTCGGTGCGATCCCATATAGCCCCACCTCCTAAAGATGCTGTCTTTTTTTTCTGAACAGACTTTGAGTGGGTGTGGGATGACGTGAACAAATCGACTGCAACCCTCCTGACCTGTGACAACCGCAAGGTGAACTTCCACATGGAGTACAGCTGTGGCACTGCTGCTATCCGTGGGAACAAGGAGCTGGCGGAGGGGCAGCACTTCTGGGAGATCAAGATGACCTCTCCAGTCTATGGCACTGACATGGTACGTTGAGCCAAGCTGTTTAGGAACACGTAGGTGCACAGATATAGACGAGCTTTTAACAAAACAGTACTTGACAGCATGCCTCATCAATAGCTCTCAAAGTACTTCACGAAAACTGGAATCCTCCTCAGCTACCAGACAGGGAAACTAACAGTTTAATGGCTGAAGGGACCATTAGATCATCTGTTCTGACCTGCGTAGCACAGGCCATTAAATTTCATCACAATACCCCAATATTGAGCCCAAGAACTTCAATTAGACTGAAGCAGAGAAGTTAAGTGACTTACTTGAGATCTCGGAGTCAGTGGAGGTCATGTATAGGACTCGCATCTCCTGGCTCTCCTTCATGCCTTTTGTTACATTACTATTTGTAGGTCACCAGTGATTGTCTCAACATGACAAAATAGAGAGATGGGGCCCTGCCGCACAGTGCTTGGAGTGACAGAATGCAGAGAAATGCCAGATGCCTGTCCAGTCAGAGATGCACCATTTTCTGACTAGTTCCTAACGTGATGAACGCTGGAACAGCACTGGAGCATGTAGATAAAGAAGTTACTATTCACCTAACGATCATCATTTTCCACTCCCCCTTTGGTTGGCTTTTGATGTGACCATCTCCTGCTTTGCCTGCCTCACTCAGATAAATAGTAAACTCCTAGAGTGCAGGAATAAAACCTGTAACTTGCCCAGAGATTCCAGTAGAGCCTATTGGGACATGCTAATAAAAGTAGCAGAGGGAGAGACCCAAAGGTGAAACTCCTTGTGACGTTCCCCTCTGGTGTTGTCTGGACCGGTGATCTGCTAGGTGACTCCAATCCTTGACTCTGGGAGGCAGCCTTACCCTGCTCTACTGTGAGAACCCTCCACTCCTGGGGTGTTCATGCATAGCCTCTGGCATGTAAGCTGCTCCTTGGATTGTGCAACCGAATGACACTAGCCAATACGTCTGATCCCAGCCACAACCCTAGGAACCTCTGTCTTGCAGTATCCAGTTATGCCCGCTGGACACTGCAAGCTTATATGAGTCTAGGGGAGTCTCCGACACACTTCAAACCAAATGCACTGCTTCAGGTAGAATAAACAAACAGATTTATTAACAATAAAGATAGATTTTAAGTGATTATAAGTCAGAGCATAACAAATCCGATTTGGTCAAATGAAATAAAAGCAAAACACATTCTAAGCTGATCTTAACACTTTCAATGTCCTTACAAACTTTAGATGCTTCTCATCACAGGCTGGCTGGTTGCTTTTCAGCCAGGCTCTCCCCTTTGATCAGCACTTCACTTGCTTAATGTGGTGTCTGTAGATGTAGGTGGAAGGTGGGGGAAGAGCGTGGCAAACGTCTCTCCCTTTTATCATGTCCTTCCTTCCCTCTTGGCTTTTCCCCCCACCCCTCTCCTTTCAGAGTCAGGTGAGCATTACCTCATTGCAGTTCCAAACTGACCAAAGGAAGGGGGGTTGACTCCCTTGAGAGTCTAACAGATTCTTTTGTTGCTGCCTAGGCCAGGATCCTTTGTTCCTGTGAGGCTGGGCTGGGTTTGTCCTGTACCTGCCCTGGTGAGGTGTGAACTACCTCTCTGCTCTTGGAGAGTTTTTGCCAGGGCTTATTTTAAGCCATGAGGATACATTTTCATCCTCATAACTACATACATGAAATTATAACCTATAACATTACTATAATAGCTATGCTCAGTGCATCATTAGCCTTCCTAAGACACCCAACGTGACCAACTTTGCATTGGATACCAATCAATCATTTTATAAAGATGAACATGGGGGTGTAGCATGTTTCTCCGAGATACAGAGCGTCACACTCCTGTATTGTGTGTCACTGCTATGCTGTGCTTAAAGCCCTGAGTGGTTCCATGGCAGAAACAAAGATCTTGTTTTCTTCTTTGGCATGGGCTACCTCCATCCAGATGGTGGGAATTGGGACTTCAGATGTGAATCTTGACAAGTACCGCCATACATTTTGTAGTCTGCTGGGCAAGGATGAAGACAGCTGGGGACTCTCATACACAGGTAATGCAGGGTAGGGAGGGGGACTGCTGCCTTTAGAGTTCATGGGGAAGGCTCATGGATATGAAGAAACCTAATCCTAGCAATTGTGGAAGTGCTCTGAATGATGGGAATAAGACTGAAATGATCACCCGGACTGTGAATCTGCTCTGATATCCCTAATGGACTTGGACTGAAACTGCTGCCCATAGCCAGCCTTCCATTTGGGCAGTGGAGAGAATCCATGCATATTGCCGGTGTTGCTGTTTTCTCATCAGGATTGCCTCTGTCGGTCTGTCTCTTTTTTTTTTTTTTTAATATAAATACAGTGAAGTAACTTCCTTAGCCAGATACATAGACTGACCTAGAGGCTGAACGTTGTCCATGCCCAACCTCCTCTGTAGATAACAGCATAAAACCACCACTCCTCCCACCCCACCCCCCCCAAAAAGTGTCTCCACCTGAAAAAGGAGTGAAGGAAGTCCAATCTCTGTTGTTCTGTATTTGCTCCATGGCTGAGACTGCCAATAAGGTTCCCTCCCCACTGCCTTGGCGAGAACACCTAGCTCATTTCACATAGGCTGTCACACCACAGAGGGGCAACAACTTTCAGTCTTTAACACATTTGGCCTATACTTGACCATGGGTCTAGAGGCAAGAGTATATTCCACCATTGGCTGTCTCCTGAGCTGCCAAAGACCCTTCACGTGCTCTGGGATGGGGGGCAGCAAAATGGTGGTCATGGGGAAATCTAGGGTTTTTTTAATTAAATGGCTGATTCCTTCAGTCTATACAAAATAGGAAGAGATTGTGGAAGATGGGATGGATCTAAAGAGTGTAGGATTGCTTCTTAATTGTCTGTCTGTCTGTCTAAGGATTACTCCACCACAGGGGAGATAAAATGAACTTCTCCTCAAGGTTTGGCCAAGGCTCCATCATTGGGGTTCATTTGGACACGTGGCATGGAACTCTCACTTTCTTCAAAAACAGGAAATGCATAGGTAAGAGTTGGGACAAAATGGCCATCATCCAGCCAAACCCACCCTTAAGCACAACAAAGTGATAGGACAAAACATCCAGGGAGGGAGTGGTGTATGAATTATGGAACATTGACCCTTTGGGTGGGTCTTAGCTTGTTGCTGCCTCTTGGAAGCCTCAGTGCCATCTGACTGTTTGAAGATGGGGATAGTGGGCTTCTGTAAATGGCAAACTATAGGAAGATTAAGTGCATAAAGCAGAGTGTCTCTAAAACAACTATTCACTTCAACAGGCCTGCCTTCAAATATCTCCTGCTTTCCAGATCTCTATCCATATGTTTGTAGACCCCACATCTAGGTGGGAGAAGGGGTGATAGTTCAGATCACAGGGCATCCTAGAAACTATATCCCTGCATTATAGGTAATTACCTAATTGTGCCCTTGCCTATGACTAACACCAGCCTCCTTGATTTTATTTCCTCCCAGGAGTTGCAGCTACCAAACTGCAGAACAAGAAATTCTACCCCATGGTGTGCTCCACTGCAGCCAAAAGCAGCATGAAGGTGATCCGTTCGTGCGCCAGCTACACGTCGCTCCAGTACCTCTGCTGTTACCGCCTCCGCCAGCTGTTGCCCAACTATGTGGATACGCTGGAAGTGCTGCCATTGCCCCCAGGACTTAAGCAAGTTCTACACAACAAACTAGGCTGGGTGCTGAGTATGAACTGTAGCACATTGAAGCCTTCCACCTCTTCTTCCTCCTTGTCAGGAAGTGACTCAGATAGCTCCTGTGGCTCAGATGCAGAGGCATGCCAAAGGAAGAGGTGCAGGAGGACGTAAGTTACTTTCAAACAAACTGCCTTGGGGGGTGGTTTCCTTCACTATCTCTGAGGGTGATCCAGGCCAGACACCTCTTCTTGGGGACACCCAACTTCTAATCAAGTTTGCAAAGACTTCTGCCCTCTTGAAATCTTTTAAGCTACACGCATCAGCCACTTGCATTGAAAACCTATCCCAACTGAGGAGAGAGTGACTTCTTTGAAATAGGCAGCCCAGATAACCTACAGCAAAATTTTCTAGTTTCGTTCTCCTACTCACTACCACCCTCACTAGCTGATCTCTAGGGAGTAGACTGTTCCAGGAGAGACGCAAGCTTTCAAACTGGCTTCCTGGCTTCAGAATGTGCATCTCTTCTAGCAGGCTTTATGATCCCATCAAAAGACAAAGCCAGTTGCCACTCCACCCTTCTCCTAACTGTTATGTGTTGGTTTGGCACCTGCAATGAAGGCATCGGGTCACTGGGATGTGATCTAGAACAGCAGTGTTTAGAGAGAGGCTCTTAAAATTGCATCTATATGCTTTACTGTTGGCACTGTTGTGAACGAGCGGTTACTTGCTAGAGCTGATCTGTAAATGATCTCATTTGAGTCCTGTGACTTCTTTAACTGCTTTGCATGTTGGGTACTGCTGCTTTTCCTGTATCAAAGACTATTAACTGGTAATAAACATACTGTTTACTTTAACTGCCCATGAAGGTATGAGCCAAAGTGTGGCTCTCAAGAATACTGGAAGTATCATAATGAGTCTTGGAAGGGCTATTAAACCTCATGCTTCAGGATTTAAGACAATCTCTATTAGAATCAGGAGGAGACTGTGACAGGTTGGATCCCCCCTTTTGGGCTGCCACTGAATGTGCTGTGATCCCATTGAGGCTGCCTGTCCTACCAGCCTGGGTTTCCCTTGCACTGTGTTGCTGTGATGGGCTCTCAAGCCCCTTAACTACAAAAGGTAAATTTTAAGTGATTATAAGGGATAGCAAATAGATCAAAGTAGATTACTGAGCAACTCAAACAAAACATGCAAACTAGGCTTAATAAAATAGTAATTTCTCACTGTAAATATTGCTGTATGCAGGTTGCAGAGTTTTTTGAAGGTAAACTACACTGTTTGCAGCTTAAATCTCCAGGTGTACCCTTCAGAGGCTTGCCTTTCTCTGCCTGGGTCCTAGTCCTTCTCCCCTAATCAGTCTTAGGTGTTTACAGCAGTCATCCTATAAAGCAGGACTCAGTGAAGAACCAGCAACCATAATTAACACATGCTCCAGCCTTAAATAGAATTTACATATTGTGGGAATCTTTTGTTTCCCAGGCTGACCCCCACATGATCTCTTAATGGAAAAACACTAAAAGTCCAAGATGGGGGTCTAGTACCAGATGACACAATCACCTGACCCTGTAGTGTCCAAGCAGTAATCCAGGAACCTTTGCAGGAAGGCAGGATTTAGTAGTATCTTCAAAGTCTTATTGTTCTTCCTAATGGCCCATTCAGGCTGCGTGCATACTGTCTGGTGAGCATTCCCTAAGTACACACACAGTTGTGATTGTTACATAGTCAATATTCCTAACTTCAGATACAGAAATGATGCATGCACACAAATTGGATAATCAGTAAATCATAACCTTTCTAATTATACTTTACATGACCTATCTTGCATAAAACATCTTAGTTATGCCATATTCATATAATTATTTTTATGAAGAATATGGGGTGTAGTGTCATAAAGATGTATTGGAGGCAGATTATCTCACATCTGCCTTGTTAAGGTCTTGTTTCTTCCTCTGAAGCATCTGGTACTGGCCATCGTCAGACAGGATACTGGATTAGATGGATCTCAGGGCACACTATGGTAGTTAGGTGCACCTTTTATGTAAGGTGAGGAGAAAGGAGGGATCTGACTTGCTGCCTCCTCTATTAATCAAATTAATAACTGAGACTCTGGTTTTATTGCCCCAAAGAATGGATGAATAATGTAGGGCTCCTAGTAAGTCAGACAGGGGGATCACACAGCTCTCACTTGATCTATTAGTGTGACAGGCCTGGTGTCAGGTACCTGATTTGAAACTCAACACAGCTTTATGAGCAGTAATTTTGCATAATCATCATGCAAGATTTGCAAGCTGACTGTAGCAGACCATAAAGTATGTTCCTTTTCTGGGTATCAGAAAGAAATACTCCTGGATTAGGGACTGACAAGGGTCTGGTTACTTTGGCAGAAAATAATCCACATGTGGCCTGAAACTGTTCCCACGGACCTTCTGTGCTGAGAAAGAGGTTCTTCCCTGACAGAAGTGACCCTGATCTATAAGACTTTAAACATCAATGAGGAAAAAGTGTCCTGTTACCTTGTAACTATAGGCACCATCTTGGTAACTAGCAAGTCAGGACACAAAGTGGTGGGAACAGGTTATTGAACATGTAACAGAGACACATGGTAAAACATCAGGCATATCCTGTAACAGTACTGTGCCTAGAGTTGTAAGGACTGACTGGCTCAGCGTACTAAGATAACAAAGCCGATCTCAATTAGGGTGCTAGATTGAAATAGAAATGGTAAGTGGTTCTCTTCTGCTGTCCAATGCTTATGCTCCCTGTGGCAAAGTAACATCAGACCTGCCCCAAGGCTGGGGCAAGTGAACTCTTTCCCCTCACACCAACCATGGGGAGGCACAGCACCAGGAAAAACTTGCATGCTCCTCCTTCCTCTCATGCCTGTTTGCAAGAGCTGTGGAGCCTGCTATCTTCATTATCCACAATCTCACACCTCAGCAGTACTGAATGGCAGCAGGAAATGAACTCCCTCTCATTTCCAGCCTCTCCTCAGAGGGAGCTCAGTTAGCAAATGACTTCTGGTTAAGGTTCTTCCTCTTGCAAAGCTCTAATCTTACCCCTGAAGTAGCTAGATGCAGGTGATTTGGAAGACTCTTGTCTGAACTGGAGCTATCATGAAGGAGTTTACGTGCATATGGTGGAGGTTGAGACCTTCAGCTTTCAATATCAGCTGTGCTGAACTAAGTCTGGAAAGCACTACAGATGCCCTTCAACATTCTAAGAACAGATGTGGGAGGAAATGAAGTACCCACATGTCCACAGTGACGCGCCTTCAAAAGTTCCCACACTAGCTACATGCATTCTCTGCGATGAGCCCAATACCATCCAATGATGAAATCATTAATGAGAACTGGACTTGCTTTTCCAGTCACGGGACCTGGAACATCTGTTAGATGAGAAGCTTAACCACTTGCTCTCCTATATTAGGACACATTATTGTGGTTGAACAAAGAATTTCTTTGGCAACACAATGACCTGACCGGCTTGTTTACTTAAATTAGTTTATTGGAAGGATGTATCACCATGGAATAGCCATTGATAACAAGGATTTCTATGCATCTGCTGTTCCTTCCTAGTTGCCCTCCTCCAAGTAAGTGAGCAATGCTATCTGGAGTCCCACTGAAGCAAGAGGGGATTCTCATTTCAACATGGAGACCCAAATGTAAAGAGCTAGGGCCTTATTTTCAGAAACATTCAAAACCCACGGTTCTTAGAGTCAAGGGGAGCTGGAACTACCAAGCACCTACCAAAATTCAAATAGTCAAAGTTTAGGAACCCAATGAGAGGCCATTTTTAAAGCTGTTGACCTTAACATCTCTGGAGTGGGAGGCAAGAGAATAATACACACTCCCTTTTTGTTCAAGAGTTTTCTCTAGCTAGTCTGGCATTGACTGGGCTGGGGAGCCCAGCTATCCAAGTGCAGATGATTTTAGTCTGGTCTGCTCTCTCAGCTAAGCTACTTCCCTCTAGGGAGTACCACTGGTTAATTCTCCGCGCCCCCCACCCCCCCTTAAGCAGTTTATACCACACTCAGGAGACAACAGCCTTCCCCACCTGGCCCTCCACACAGTTTTGCCCCTAACTGCTCTAAGGTGCCTAGGTGTCCAGTTTTCAACCGGAACACCCGGTCAAAAAGGGATCTTGATGGCTCCTGTCAGCATTGCTGACCAGGCCATTGACTGTGCGGTTGGTGGTGCCATGCAGCGGGGCTGGCAGGCTCCCTGTTTGCCTCTGCGCCACGCAGCTCCCGGAAAGCAGCTGGCATGTCCCCCCTCTGGCTCCTACATGTAGGGGCAGCCAGGGAGTGCTGCACACTGGCCCTATGCCAAGCACCGCCCCCCACAGCTCCCATTGGCTGCGATTCCCGGCCAGTGGGAGCAGCAGGGGTGGTGCCTGAAAATGGGGCAGCGCGCAGAACCACCTGGCCTCACCACCACATCAGAGCCAGAGGGGGGACATACCACTGCTTCTGGGAGCTGCTTGAAGTAAGTGCCATCGGGAGGCTGCCTGGTGAAAATGAGCGAGTGAGTGAGGGTGGGGATAGTGAGCGACAGAGGGAGGGGGAATGGAGTGAGGGGGGAGTGGGGGCCTTGAAGAAGGGGAGGGGCCTCTGAGGAGGGGGCAGGGCACGGGGGGCAAGGATGTTCAGTTTTGTGCAAGTAGAAAGTTGGCAACCCTACTCCCTAGTTCACCAACACACTAGGATCTTCCCTGCCCTCTCACTACCCAGCACCCCCCAGAGACCCACTCCCCCATGCTCTGCCTCCCGGCCACACTCACTGGCCCTGCTGGGAGGCGACTATGTCTGCCGGGTGAGCCGGCAATGCAGCCAGGGCTGGTCCTGGGGTGGGGAATCACTCCGTCCCCGCGGGAGTGGTGTGATCAGCCAGGCCAGGGCCTGTCCCTGCCAGGCCCCCTCAGGACATACTTGCCTGGAGGGGTCCAGCCGATCCCCCCAGACTTTCACACCTCCCCCCGCTGCAGCTGAGACTGGCCAGGCTTCTGCACCAGTCCCAAGCTCCTCAGGTCCAGGGAGACAGGTGAGGCCCTGCAGGTGGTGGGAAGCAGAGACCTCTGCCAGGGGTCAGAGAAGCTGGCGGGTAGGCCCAGGGGGCAGAGAGGAGCTCTCGGCCAGCGGGCAGGCAGGCCGAGAGGAACAAGTGGTGGGGGGAGCCAGTGGGGTCTCAGGATGCAGTGCAAGTGGAGCAGGCCAGGGCCCCTTCTGGGCACAGGCCCGGCTCCATGGAGCCACTGGTGCCATTGTAAACCTGGCACTGGGCTTGGGGAAGGGTATGCTGCTGCTATGGCTACTGCCACAACAGGGCTGACTGTTAAACTGGATTTGCCTCTTGCAGTCGTGTCCTGTCCTTCTCCCCATGTACACCGCTGCACCAGCCCCCATCAGTGCAGAAGGGGAATAGTTGGGTCTCCAGCTGTTTCCTGCAGGAAGAGATGCAAGGATAGGACACGCAGTAGTGAATGTTTGGGAGATCACATCTTTCCTGCAGCCTCTGTAATAGGGTTTCTGGCTAGTCCACCTCTGTTCCTCCAGGACCAGCATTTTTCCTCCATTAGCTCACAACCCTCTCCATCTTCAAAATGGCCCCTTCCCTCCGGCTGCTAAGAGGGCATGTCCTACCGTCACCTAACTTTCCTCATCAGCTCTTATTTCTGAGCCTATGCCTCTTATCCCTCAAACACCTAGACGGCAGAGCACAGTGTACTGAGTGTGTGAATGGCAATGGGGGAGGGGAAAGAGCCAAATAACCGTACAGGGACAGTCATGAAATGAACATTCCTACATCCAGTCTATTCTGGATACCCTGACAGGAGACAACCTGGGTTCCCCCCTCCC